ATCATACTTTTCAAGTAAAGAACTTTTGATATACAAAACTAGAAACTTACCAGTAAAGGGTTTAATTCATTTTATTAAACCAGTATAACTTAAAGGACCTTAGGTGGTTAATTCTATAATACCTTAGTTTATACACCATGGTTATATATAATTAATATCCGATAGGTAGTTGGATGTGTGCTTTCTGCCTCATTCCCTGTTCCTTGTTTGGTTGTGGGCTTAGGGCAGATTCACACAATTAATTATCTGTTCGATATTAGATTATATATAGCTAGTATAAACTAAGTGATTATAGAAGGAACTACTGTGGTTACCATTTTATTATAAGAAATAAGGGTTTTCTTAAGGAATCTTTTCATCAAACTAAAGGAACTATTACAGTTAACTCCGTGAGTACCAAGTGAATACGTCAGGGTTATATACAACAATGATCTAACAAACAATGGGATGTGTGTCTTCCGCCTCATTTCCTGTTCCTTGTTTGGTTGTGGACTTAGGGCAGATACACACAACCGATTGTTTGTTTACTCTGAGTTTTATATAACTTGTATTCATTTAGTACTCATAGAAAGGGCTGTAGAGTCATTTTTACTTATCTTTCATCAAAGCAGGAAATATAGGATTTCCTGGAGGAACAGACAAACTTTTCTAAACAGAACTTTGTATAACTTACTGTAACTTACCACAACTTTCTTACTACTCACGTACATCACTTAAATCTTATGAACTCACCAGCTTAAATGCTAATCTACGCTTTCAAAATAACTTGTATTCTCAGGAGACCAGTAGACATGTACGCGCACTGGGATTCAGAATATGGAGCAATATAGCTTCATGTCTTTTTGTTATTTGCTATGTATTCTAGATTATGTGAATCGCATACTTTGTAAACACTTTCTTTCTAATGAAATGGTTGTTTATTACTTGCTTACTATGATGCATGTCTTGTGATACTAAACATGACGTCCTCCACCCCAGAACGTTTCCGCCGTTCCGGTTTTGGGGTGCGACAGAAATCGGATGTTACATGAAGTTTATTCCCACATTGTTATTTACCATATGACTGTGTTTTTCCCATCATACATGGGGAAATGATAACAAAGAAGGAACTATACTCTATTCCTTGCAACAAGTTTCAAGAAAAAGTGGTAGACATGTAGATTTGATATGAATGAGTCATCGATATGATTTTCGAGGCATTTTAATCACTTTTTCATGTGTAGCTATTGTTGAGCCTATGAACAGACTCTACCAGTTTAAAGGGAAGGAATCAAGAATTCTGAAGCCAATACTTACACATATATTTATTGCTAGTGTTTTTCTTTTGCAAAAAAGATGGAACAAATGTCATATGCTATCGACCTATAGACATGTCTTTCTTCTGCACATGTGTTGTAGGATTTTCGGGTAACAAGGGTCTACAACGGAGTTAGGGTTTCAACTAAAATTACAATTTAGTTGTTAATATGTCAGTGGGAGGCCACCTTTTGAAAGATTATTGTCATGACACTAATGAGGGGGGGGGATTATTACAAAAGCTGACGTGGAATAATTTGAAAGGGCGATGTTATTGTGACACCGATGTGGATGGTCTTATAGTTCTAGTATAGACTGGGTTTTGTGTTAATTAAATTGATTTATATGAATTTCCTATTTGATTTAGAGGTGAGCAAAGAGAGAAAATCGACATTGAACTAGTTCCATATAGATACATACATGTTGGTATTATGTTCCTCCAAATCAAGAAAATAGGTTCTTCACGACTTTTAATACTCGATGATTTGGGTTCGGGAATTTACTTGAACCGAGTTGAAATATTTTTTCTTAACTTTGAACACTCACAAATCTCATATGAACTCAGTTTGGGTTAATTATTAATCTTGCATCTTCTTCATTGTCTTGGGTACATGTTAGCTCAAGAAACAACTGATTTGAGTTACATATCCCTAAACAGGTTACTTGAAAACTAAAATTTTCCAGCATTTTGTTTTTCTTATGAAACATATGCAAAATTTTCCACAACTTTTAACACTCATAAATTTCTCAAATAGACTCAGATTGGGCTAATTATTCTTCATGCGTCTTGTTCTTTGTCCTGGCTACATGTTAGTCTCAAGAACAAATTTATTTGGAGATGTATAGCCTAAGTTACATAGGGCTAAACATGTGTGCCTGAAAAACATAAATTTTATAGACTTTTTTTTTCTTACCAAAATCTATGGATAATTTTTCTTCAACTTTGAACACACATTACTCTCTCATGTGAACTCGGATTGGGTTGTTTTTTTTCCTATATGTTCTTTGTTGTCTTGGCTACATGCTAAGGCTAAAGAACCAAACATTTTGTTATACTTGAGTTCTATAGCCTCAAACATTGCTTGGTGCTCGTAGAAAATCAAGACTAAAATAACATTGGTACCGAAACCGAACCGGTACCATATAGTACCCATTGGTATGGTACTCGATTCCCATAAAATCTGAAATTTGGTTTCGTTACTTTCGGTTCCAATACCGGTTTAGTGTGGTTTCAGTAACGATCTCACCCCTACTTTAATTTGATATAATATATAGAGAAAATAGTAATTAACTATTTAGTAATATTTGTTATATAATAAAGATGAATAATTCATTTTATTTATCAAAATTAGCAAATCAAACTTATTCATCATTTTTATAAAAAGGTATACACGTTTATAGTGGGCTCCCCTAAGGTGGTTAACCCTTTTACTAAAGAGGTGGATCAGACTTCTTGGTTTGCATTTACAAGTGCTAACACAATACCCCTCTTGGCTGCCCTTGATTGAAAACCCCATATTAGAACTTTGGACGTTCCCTATGGAGAGCCACAGTCTTACCAGCGGAGGCACTAGGTGATGGATAACTTACTCCTCATAAAATTAGTAAATCAATCCATGTTACCATCATATCTATTCACTAGAGTACAAATGTTCACAGTGGAACTCAAATGAGCGGATCTATTGAACTAGGTACAAGTATAGACACATTTGGGTTTAGGTGGATAGTTTTTTTATTAAGAATTATAAAATGGGTACGGGGCAATGGATAGTTTTTTTTAGTAAGAATTAAAATGGGTAGAGGCATGATAGCCGACTCACAAACGTTTTTTGAATTTTATAAAAATCAATATATTAAATATATCTTTACGAGGTCTATATTTCTATAATATTAATAATTTTAGTTGTAAGCATTTGAATAATTATTCCCTTTATATTGCTTTGGTGCATATAAAGCTATGGCTAGTACCGGTCTAAGCGATTCTTAGCGTGAAAATTTTACAAAGATAAAGATGTGAAAGTAATAAAGGAGGCTATCACCAAGAAGCAATTCCTTAATTATTGCTATATGCATGGGGAATTTCCCAAATCAAAAGCAAAGTAAAAAGCTAGTTCCTTTGGAGTGTGGTGCTTAATAAGACATATCATCAACTATATCATTGCATATTAAGAAATTATTAAATATGTTGACTATATTTTAATCATTGTATCAACTATTACTCGTATATAAATGAGACGAGCTCAATAAGGTCTTTTGGATCTTAGAGCACCCATTACGACTGGTAAATTTCTAGGTCCAATATTTAACACTAAGTTAATAAAATAATTTCATGTATATGAAAGAAAATAGAACTTTATTAATCGGAATTTCTATGTTATAGGTTATAACAATACAACAAAAGCCGAGGGACTAAAAAGTGTCAAGTGGTGAAGCATTTGGATTTTAGTGCAACTTCTGAGGAGTTAAAAATTTAAACGAGGGAAATTTGGAATATTTTTGTGTTCATATTTCCTATAAGTATAAGCAAATACAGAATTCCTCAAACACATCTCGATTCTCATTATCTCAAACCTCATATTTACTGTAAGTTTCTTGCGGATTCGAAAATCTATTTGGTCAGTTTCTCCTTTACAAAACTTCTTTGTCTTATTAGTTCTTTTCTCATTTTTCTGATTTTAGTTATAATCAAGAGATTTTGTTTGTAAATGGAGGCCTTCCTGGAGGAGTTTCAACATCTTAAATTCCATCTGGATGAGATAAAGTTAGCCACCAACAACTTTGATAACAACAACGTTATAGGGAAAGGTGGATTTGGGTATGTGTACAAAGGAGTACTCTCTCAGTGTGAGGGGCAAGATGTCGTGGCTTTTAAGCGTCTTGATCGTAGATATGGGCAAGGAGACCCTGAGTTCTTGAAAGAGATCTTGATGCTTTCTCATTACAGACATGAAAATCTCATCTCTCTCCTGGGATTCTGTGATGAAGATGGTGAGAAGATCCTTGTGTATGAGCATGCATCTCATGGAAGCCTCGATATCCACTTAAATAGCACTACTCTCACATGGAGGCAACGCCTCAAGATATGCCTTGGGGCTTCAATGGGACTTTGCTACCTTCATGATCCAAAGGGGACACAACAAAGAGTTCTCCACCGAGATGTAAAAAGCTCCAATATTTTGTTGGATGAAAATTGGAATGCTAAACTTTCAGACATGGGACTGTCCAAAATAGGACCTGCTAATCAGCAGCACACCTTTCTTGCCACGAATGTTGTAGGCACCTTTGGGTATTTAGATCCGATGTATCTGGCCACAAGCATTCTAACGAAAGAATCAGACGTATATTCTTTTGGTGTGGTCTTATTTGAAGTATTGTGTGGGAGACCATGCTTTGACTATAACAATGGTTGTTTGCAATGTTTCGTGAAATCGTGGAAAGCAAGCTACAAACAAAAGAAATTGGATGAGATTATCTTTCAAGATTTGAAGCAAGACATGGATTCGCGTTCATTGGAAACATATTCAAACATTGCCTATCGATGTTTGCAGAAATCTCGTGATGATAGGCCAAAGATGTCTGAGGTTGTGGAAAAACTTGAGATGGCTTTTCGATTTCAGGAGATTTTTGAAGAATCAATGGTCTACGAAGAGATCATTAAGACTGCGGTACCTTCTCTCAACTACAGGTCCGAAGAGGAGCTAAAGATGCTTCTCTCAAAAGGAATCTTCCTTAACCAGGGGAAAAAGGTAATTAGCTGTGTGTATAAACCTCTGATATATATATATATATATATATATATATATATATATATATATATATATATATATATCTATATATATATATATATATATATCTATATATCTATATATATATATATATATACCACCGTGAGGTTCTGATTTAGATGGAGCGATTGAGACCGATGTACGGGTGAGGGAGGCGTGCCCTAGGTATAGAGAGAAAGATGAAGTCGAAAATAGTGGAGTGAATGATGAAGTCATAGGTTTATAGAGAGATTGAGAGATTTTAGGAGTTGTTTAAATAAGGGAATGATTAATTACCATGATACCCTTTTCTTATTTTTAATTCAAATTAATCGAATTTAAACATTTTAATAATAACAAAATTTCTAATAATTATAGCCTTAGATCTAAGATAATAGATGGATGAGATCTGTTCTCGCGTTCTCAACCTTTAAGGTGTTCTCATTTGATCCTACTCCTATATATATATATATATATATATATATATATATATATATATATATATATATATATATATATATATATATATATAGGGAAAAGTTCAATAGAGAACCATAATTATTGGTTCTTCAAGGAACCAAATTTTTTTTTTCAATTTCTAGAGCTTATTATTTATCGAAAAAAAATCTAAAATATCTAAATTTATATATTAACACTGTGAATGTGAAAACTATTTTTCGGATTCACATTGTGAATTTTCAAAGATTCACATTGTGAATTTGACGTAAAAAAAAAAATTGAATTTGATATCATTGGAAAAAGGATAAAAAATTTATGAATTTCTGTTTTTAGTTTTTTTTTTTTGATAAAAAATAAGTTCTAAAAGTTGAAAAAAAGATTGGTTCCTGGTTAATTATGGTTCTCTATTGAACCTCACCCTATATATATATATATATATATATATATATATAGATATATATATATATATATATAATATATATATATATATATATATCTATATAATATATCTGAATGGTAAGTTGTGATTTATGAAAAATATTATAGCTTAATTTGAGGATTGTCACATGATTAAACCAAATAATGCTTAATATATATATATATATTTCCAACAATTATGTAATAATGCTTAAAATATGTATATTTCTCCAACAATTATGTAATAAAATGACTTTATTTTCCACCTAACCACGATACTTTGATAATAGCAAAACACTTTAACCACAAAAAATACTCTTGTAAATGTACTGATAGAGTCATATCCTACATCGGCCGAATTAATATGATCACTTTTAATGGACAGAGGTTTTGGCTAAATAAGAATGGAGAACATTGTGAAATGATATCTGCAGCAGAATGTTTGATTCCTATTCGTACTGTGTCTGAGTATTATTATCGGCAAACCAAACCAAGGTTACATTTGCTTCTACTTTTTGTTTCCATGTTTTTGAGACTGTTTCATGATTATATATATAGTGATGTATTATTTGTTGTATCTTTATGCAGATTTATAGCATCATCGTGCAGATTTGCAGTAAACGGCCATCAACCATTATGTAGGGAATTCAAAACACATGTCAAAACGCAATTTTTGTCACGGTATATATCACATACACTGTAAACCTTGTGTTCCAATTGAAGTACACAAACTATTTAGGCCTCCGTTATAGAGTGGCGGGGGAGACAAAATCTTGGACTTCTTACTTAGTAGATAAGAGAGAAGATGGATGTCTGATGACCGAATTGTATCAGTTTGCTAGCGACAACAGAAATGTTGATCTTGAAATTACATTTCTATCCGAGGAACCATTGATAGTTGAAGGCATGGTGTTTCTGCCACTGGAGAGAGTAAGCCGACAAATACTGGTTTATTTATTTGTATGCTGTTTTTGGTGTAAGAAAATCCCTATGGGTTACCTACTCCGTGGTATAAAATAAAACACATTAGGAGTATAGTAGTTTTTTGCGATAGTCGATCAACATTTAATATGTAAGTTGTATAGGTGGAGCAAGAAGTCGTAGAGGATGAGAAGGTGGATATTCAGACCATATCAGATTCAGACACATATTGGGAACAAAAGTTGCCAAGTGATTATGAAGACATAATCAAGACGTCAAAAGATAGTGTGCAATGGACAACAAAGAAGGAACTCTACTATGTTCTTTGCAAAGGGTTCCTAATCAATGATGGCAAACAGGTATATTTCTGAAACAATGTTGGTAAAATTAATTATTCCTCATATGTAGCCTATGGACATGGTTTTACTAGGTTAATGATAAGAACTCCAAAATTCCAAAACACAAGTGAGAATATGTTGAAACCCTCTTGATTAGGGTTGTATGTATTTATATCATTATATATAGTGTAACATATTACAATGGGATCCCTATACTATAAAAAACTATATAAACTAGCAAATTAAATATAATAAGTATTTAACAAAACCCCCGTAGTTGGAACACGAGGTCCTCGAATGTTCAAACTATCTCTAAAATCCAAAAATAGATGTGTACATAGACCGTTTGGAAATATATTTACATACGTTAAGCGGAAGTGGATGGAACATGTGAAACTCGCACATGACCAATCCCAATACATTCCGAAACAAAATATAAGTCTATTTCCACATGCTTGGCATGTCAGTATTGAAATGGTTTGAGCCTAGATACATGGAAACCACATTATTACAAAAGACAACAGTGGCACGCGAGAGACGGGAATGCAACTAAAGAAGGAGGTTTCGAAGCCATGTAGTTTCAACAACCACAATGGCTACACCTGATACTCAACTTCGGTGCTAGAACGAGATAACACATGTTAACGTTTCAAGGACCATGAGACGAGATTATTGTCAAGATAGACACATAACCTAGAGGTAGACCGACGAACGTAGATCAGCCATCTCAGTCAACATCAAAATAGGAAACCAACCGATCAACGGATGAAGGATGAACGCGAAGATCATATGATATGGTACATTTAAGATACCGTAACAAGCACTTAAGTGCGAGAAAATGAGGGACATATGGATCATGCATAAATAGGCAGACCTACTGAGCAACATAAATAATATCAGGAGGGGTAAATGAAAAATATTGGAGAGTGTCAGACGAGACTTTGATATATGATCATATTAGAGATCGAATCACCATCAAGGGGGAGCTTGGGTTTAGTCAGAGGGATGCAAGGACTACACGTAGTTATGTCAACATGTGTAAGAATGTCCTGAGCGAACACAGTTTGGCAGAGACGAGGCTCGAAGAACTGTGTTCGGTGGCACTACTAAGAAAGAAGGAAAGTCATGGGAATTTAGTGGATAATTGAGAGATGACCTTAGAGATAAGATAGTGAGAAGAAGCGGTGAGAATGACATCGTTTACATATTGAAGCATGTAGATGGTGTCAAAAGTGCGATGAAAAGTAAATAGAGAACTGTCGGATTTGCTGCCGAGAAATCCCAAAGAGGAAAGAGTGACAACAAAGTGTTGGTACCATGCTCGAGGAGCCTGTTGCGACTGTATATGGCCTTTTTTAAGACAGTCCTTTTTTAAACGACAAACATGGTCAGGGAACAGTTTATTGAAATAACCGGGACGTTGACGTATGTACACAATTTCAAGAAGATCGTCGTGAAGGAAAGTATTTTTGACATATAATAGAAGAATGTGCCAATTTTTTAAACATAAATGTTGAGAACGGTACAAATTATGGAAGATTTGACAAAAAATATTGAACGTGTCATCAAAGTCTAGACTCGAGTGCTAAGTGAAACCTTGAGCCACTAACTGACCATTGTAATGATCAAGGCGACCACTACCGTCAAATTTGTGACGACAGAGCCAACGACAACAAACAATGTTATTGGTAAGGGGTTTGGGTACAAGATCCTAGGTTTGGTTAGAACAAAGTACATACATCTTGGAGTCCATAGCAAAGAGCCAAATAGGATCACATATAGCCTTAGCTGTTGATCAGGAAATGGCGACAAATTAGAAGTGATAAAGATTAAATATTTTTTTGTCTAGAGATAACGGTGAGGGATCTAGGGAACATGGGATGTCTAGTTGTTGGAAGAGAAGTATGAGTTAGAGATGAGGTATATGGGGTCAAAGCTACTCTAAACTCGACAACATCAAAAGTAGGAAAAAGAGGAGCTGAGGATGTGGGTGATTGAAGAGGATAATGAGAGGTAGGAGAAACAGTAGAGAAAAAGGGAGTGTTCATCTTTGAACAAAAAGGAATCATAGTTAGTAGATGAAGAGGGAGTGTGAAACTAAACCGATCAAACTTAACAAAATTAAAATTAAACTCAGTAGAAACATAGTTATCAATAGTTAAATGAGGAACATAGACAAGATTTTTCACCATTTTGTTATAAACGAGAACATTTTTTAACAGAAGACGGTTATTAGAAAGAGGAAAAGAAATTTGACCAACATAAGTAACTGGAAGTAGATCATCATTACCAACCATTCTGAATTATAATTACATGGAGTTAAAGATTACATTGTACCTTGGTTGAATGTCATGTGCGAACCTATATCTGAATCCATATAGTAGTGATTATCGTTAGGAGGTTGTGCAAACATCGATTGAAAGACGGATATAAGATCTGTGTATTGTGGTTGTCCAAGTTGCATTGCCCCCAAAAGATGGATTTTAGGGTTGTTGAGACATATGTTGTTGTTGAGCTGATACAAAAGAATTATAATGTTGAAACACATGTGAATATGACTGTTGTGGTTGATCAAAAATTGGTAGCAAGGGTTGTTGCTACTGTGCTGGAGGAAAACCGAGAGGCTATTGTAGATTGTGAAGCCCGGGGGCTATCGGTGAGGCCTGCTATGCATCGATAGCTATTGGTGGAGGTCTGGCAGCAACATATGTAATAGATGGAGGGCTGAAAAGTTAGTTTTGCTATGTGAGAGATAAGCCAATGGTGTTATTTGATCCAAGGTAAGTTTAAACTTGTCCTTGTGTGCCTTGATGACCTAAAGTTAGAACTAGAATACACATTAGTATTACCCTCCTCTCTTGGAAGCAACTCGCCTACTATTTTTCCCTTACTAAGTTTATTTTTCGACTTTCCATGAGCCGAGGGGGACAAGTATAAAAATTCTAAATATGTGAGAGGCATTTCACCACTTTGTTCTTGTGTTTCTTTGCGAGAATTATGGATCGGAAGCATGTTTTTGGATTCAAGAAAGGATGGAAATGGTTTCGTGTTGTTAATCACATCAATAATGCTGTGATACGAAGGAGGCAATTATCGTAAAATTTACATGACTAATTCGACTTCTTCAATTTTTGAGTCACAAAGAGCTTCATCCATATTCTTAAGGGAGTGAAACAATTCAATTTTTGACAAATATCCTTTCTTTGTGTTGCGAAATTGTTCTTGGAGCATTCTAGACATTTTGTTGTTGAGGAAAAACTCGTCTAGTTTGTCCTATAAATCTTTGGAGGTATAATTTTCAGTATGATCTGAAGTAGATTTGCATCACGAGTGGAACAAACCCATGACTTTATCTATAATCAATGGCCGCCCAATCCTCATCATCATCTGCTTGAGGTTGAGATTTAGCAGTAATATGATTATGCACTTTTGCACCTTTGCACATGTCAAGAAATTTTTTATGCTATAACTTGTATTTTGACCCATCAACATATATTTTAAAGCTAAATTATGAGTAAACATTGGTAAGAGAAAATACAAATCGAATGGAAGTAGGAGTGAAAGTCATGGCAGTAGATGTTGATGACAAAATTGTCATGGGGACCCAGAAAAATCGTAAAAATAAATGTAATAATAACATAAAATAAAAGGCTAGAAGCTAATCGTAAGTAAAGGGATAGTAATGCCCCAGTAGCCAAAACGTGGGGAGGAAGACAACAGGTGGTTGCTAAGTGAGTCAATCAACAGTGAGAAAGAGTCAAGGTCGTCGGAAGGTACAAAGAACGGAAGACGTAGGTATATAGGAGCGAAGCAGGTTGGTGGCGTAGAAAAAAAGGATTTGTTTTAGGGTTTACGTGATAAGAGGAGTCGTATGAAAACCTTTTTTAGTACCATGATAGAATATGTGGAAACCCTCTTGATTAAGGTTGCATGTATATATATATATATATATATATAGATATATATATTATATATATAATATATATATATATATATATATAATATATATATATATATATATATATATATATAGTGTAACATACTACATTGGGATCTAAACAACAAAGTAAAAGTAATAAGTACTTAAGAACAAGTAGTTACACATTTATTGAATTACAGTGGTTTTCTCTTGCAAAAGATGGGAAGAAATGTTATATGCTTCCAGCTCGAGTGGTTGTGAATAAACGACAGTGGAGTTGGCGGTCCTTACCTGAATCAAGGTTCTTTCCTCTATTCACCCAACCTTTTTTCTTATACCCATGCGTATTTTTTCAATCCCTTAATTTTGTACAAATATGTTGTCGTGTTCTCACAATTTTGTAAAACATAATGTCTTTTTGCAGATTTGGAGAAGTGGCTTATGATCCTCATGGCAACTTTTGGATATATTGCATATTAAAAATGCCATCACCTCAAAAAACATATGGAGCCTACCTAGTTTACAAATTACACGCATACCATTCTGGTTTTGAGTTTCCTTTGAAAGTTAGTTATAGGCATCATTCTTGGTATATATATTTACTTTGTCCTCAACTCCCAATTATTAGAGGAAAGGAATATAAAAACTCCTACAACCCACTAAAGAGACACAAAATGAAAGGCATTCCAAAAGAACGTAATGATGGTTGGATGGAAGTACAAGTGTGCGAATTTCAAAGCCCCATGGAAGTACACGTATGGGAATTTCAGACCTCCACTACTTCTAAAACGATTTTGAGGGATCGTCGATTGCCACTTTCTGTTAATGAATCAGTTAAAGGGCTTACTCTACAGGGAATTGAGTTTAAACTCATGAATTAATTAATTGTAAACATTAGAGGTGAACATGGTACTAAATCCTTTGGTACCAAATCCTTTGGTACCGATACTTTTTTCTCTAAAGAGTATACCATACCAAGTATAGTTGGTACAAAAAATTTGTTACCATTATCGTCATAACTAGTACACTTGGAAACAACTTATTATGTTACCGGCAAGCTTCGTTTGTTTAAATTGACATTTAATTTTCTATTATAAGAGTTAAATACCATAAAAGACATTAGGTAATTTGATTGTTTAGTAAAAAAAATAGTTTTGTAATTATTTTAATTTACTAAAGAATTTTATTCGATATTACTACTTAATTTATAATTTAACGTTGTAATCAGGGGCGGATCTAAGGGGTATCCCGGGATGCCCCCTCAAAATTTTTTCAGTTGTGTAATTTTTTAAGGAAAATTTCGTTTATGTAGTGTGTATATACGCATCATTTCACTTATGAACACAAACAAACAACTAGTCTATTGGTTAAGGTGTTGGCTTATTGAAGCAAAGGTCTTAAGATCAATCATTACTCCTTACATATCCTATGTTTACCTTTCTTTTATTTTCCCAACTATATTATCCCACATTGCCAAACGCATATAAAATCAACCATTTTCATCTATTATATAAACTTGTTATCCTCATGCTTCATTTGATATCTACTTTGACTCTCACATTGATTCAAGTATCAAGCGATACTTCAACTTTATGTTTATATAGCAAGACTTGAGGTTAGCTAAGGATTCGATTAACATTTGGGTTTAAAAACAGAAACCAAACCGTACAAACTCAACCTAATAACCAAAACAACGACCTAATGGGTTTGGGTTCGGTTTGGTTTTAAAAGTTTCAAAACTGAGGTTGTCGGTTTTGGGTTCGGTTTTAGGTTAAAATCGATCCAACCCGGCCCATGCTCAATCTTACGACTGTGGTGATAGCTCAGGAATTTTTTTGGGATACCATTTTACTTTGATCCTGGCTCCGCCACTAGTTGTAATATATATATATATATATAATATATATAGATATATATATATATATATATATAGATATATATATATATATATATATATATATATAGCAGTTCAAATGAAGACATAAATAAAGTGAAGACGTGAAGACACTACTTTTATGATATTATTTTAGTATGAATTTTGGTGTATACTATATTATGTCAGGATTCTATAATATATATATATATATATATATATATATATATCTAATCAGATGTAAATATTCATATTAGCAATGAATACATGAATAATCATACATTGATATTTACACTAGAAATCCTACAATACTAAACATATACAATAATTCATAGTATAAAATAAAAACATAAAAGTAATGTCTTCATTTGAACCTCTATATATAGATATATATATATATATATATATATATATATATATATATATATATATTAAAATAAAAACATAAAAGTATGTCTTCATTTGAACCTATATATATATATATATATATATATATAGATATATAGTATATATATATATATATATATATATATATATATATATATAGGGTGAGTTTCAATAACCAAGGAACTAATCGTTAGAATCGAAATTTAAAACGATCAACAGCCAAGGGAATGAATGTACACTTGTACATTGGACGCACATACACCTGATTATTCTATAAAACCACCTCTTTACCAAAAAAATCCACCTCTTTTTTTTTCGTTTAATTTTTTTTAAGCTACGTTTTTTATCGAAAAAAAAAACAGAATATACCGTTGTTCACCATTTTTCGTCCTCTTTCCATAGATCCATGTTGAAATATAAAAAACAAAGTTTTTTTTTTCGAAAACAACCTACTACGTGTTGTTTTTTTTCAATATTTAAGTTTATTTTTATAAAAAAAAACAATTATACAAAAAATCTCAATTTTTTGTCCTCTATTAATAAACATCATCAATGATTAAAAAAAACTCGTAGCTCAGATTCACATTGTGAATCTAAATTGTAAATATCTAAATTTTAACATTCACAATATGAAACTGATTTACTATTAATGTGAATCTGGGCAGACTCATAATGTGAATCTGGGCAGATTCACAATGTGAATCTGTACTAAAATTACGTTTTTTTACATCAATATAAATCTATGTTTATAGAGTACCAAAAAATATAAGTTTTGATATATTTATTAAAATTTTTAAATAAAAATAGACATTAACTTTTCAAAAAACAAAGAAAATGAAGTGAGTTTTTTTTGAAAAAAAAAGTTCATTTTTTGAATATCAATATTGATCTCAATGGAAAGAGGACGAAAAATCATGAATAATTGTATATTCGGTTTCTTTTTTGATAAAAAACATGGCAAAAAAAAAAATTAAAATGAAAAAAAGGAAGTGAGTTTTGTTATAATCCGATTTATGTGCGTCAATTGTAAAATTCTACGACATTATTTTTGTCGTTGATCGCTTTAAATTCTGATGCTTTAGATTGGTTCCTTGGTTCTTTTATAAATAATGGTTCTCTATTTAACTTTTTTTTTTTTCTCTCTCTCTCTCTTCTATATATATATATATAATATATAATATATATATATATATATATATATATATATATATATATATATATATATATTATATATATATCTATATATATATATATATATATCAGTGTTGTAAATATCGGCCTAGGCGGCCGCCTAGGCGCTAGGCGGTCTGCAACTGATTACGATTAGGGGTGCTTGGCTGAAATTGGTCAATATCGGTCAAACTCGGGCTAGGCGGTCTTCGGCGGTCCTTGGCGGGAAGATTTTAAAAAATTCAAAATTTCAAAATTTCAAATATTACACCAAAATTTATAAAACTTCAAAATTTTAAATTTTTAAATATTCAAATTTTCAAATATTATACCAAATATTTCCAAATTTCAAAATTTAAAACTTTAAATTTTTAAATACTATTTTTTCTTAGGATATATTAAGTTTTAAAATAATTTTATTAGTAGTTTATGGTCCCGATTAATCCCCGCCAAACCGATTAATCGCTTGACCGCAGTCGACCGCCGAGTTACCGCCGAACGATTTTTAGAACCTATATATATATATATATATATATATATATATATATATATATATATATATCTATATATATATATATATAGGTTCAAACCAGAATAAAAACATAGTTGAGATTGTGAGAACAAATCTCGACCAATAATTTTATTTAACTATTAATGATTGAAATAAAATAACATAACAAAATCTATGTTTTTGTTTTCTGGTTCATTAAAGTTATAGACCATTCATCAAGAAACAACGTTTATTATCAACTATTCATCCAAAATCATTAATTCTTCTAATAAAAAATAAAAATCATCATGTTATATTCTAGATTTCAAGATCTAAAACAATTTCAACATCATTACAAATATTCCAGATTTATCAATTCTAACATCATCTAGTCCAAATTCATTAATCTAAAACAATTACTTCCAAATCTTCCAGGTTTATTAGTCATAACATCATTTAATGATTATGAATCATTGAAACTTCATCAGTGAACATCAAACAACAAACATTCATCAACTGAACGAAAAAGTATCGAATTTTCACAACGTTATCTCTCAGGTAAATCAATTGCGCAAAACCTCGTTTTTCATGAAAATTTTCATAATTTTTGAGATTTTCAAGTTTTATTTCTCTAGTTAAAGGTAAATTGTTAATATTTTGTATTTTGTTTGAATATTTTATCATAATTATTGAATTAAATTTGTGCGCACACCAAGTGTTTAATGAAATGCTCTATAGAGATATTGATTTTTACATGTTATTCACATATAAATAGCACATAACCTTGCATATTTATATGTTATTCACATAGGATTATAAATTTCAAGATGAAGATGAAGATGATGTTTATTTTTGTTTTGTATTTCTGGTGAATATTTTACATCGTTTATATAGGTTAACTTATGTCCACTCCAAACATTTGATGAAATGCTCCGTATGGCTTTAGGTCACGACCCGAACATTCCCATTTCGTCATCGAGGTTAGTTTTTAATTATGTATAATTGTTAAGTTACTTTTGTCAAGGTTAAAGTTAACTTTTAGGGTCCAAAGTGCAATAAAATAATACTTGATGATATACATAGGTCATGGGGGTCATTTTCTCACACTTAAGGGCCTAAATTGAAAGTTAGCATGTATTTAATCCACCCTAACCCTTGAATCCGGGATTAAACCCTACTTGGAAGACTCTGCTCTACTTTAAAGTGTGATCTTGGATTTCTTTCCTTCCTTGAAGTGTGCGTTCGAGTAGAAAAACCAATAGGCAAAAGGCATCATAAAGATCGGGCAATTCTAACACACAATTCCTGAGGATCCTTGGCCTACACATGCATCACTAATAGCTCACATAGAACACACAGAAAGGCATCTCTCCTAGTAGGCACTCTAGCATGCAACCCTGAGTAGACCCTTAGCCTATCTTATAGCATACACATCATAATATAACACATATAACAAAAATTCAATCACAGCATATAAAGCAAGTATGGATATTTTGGAAAATCAGTTTACGAGCTCCGGATGACTGTACACATCACATCTTCTCTTGTAAATAATATTTTTCCAAAAATTCATAGTAAAACTCTCAGTTCCATAGTTTGAGTTTGGAATCCCACAAATGTTCAACCAAATCCCTCAAACCAGGGCTCTGATACCAACTTGTAACATCCCAAAAACCCAAGCTAAATTTTTCGTTTTTATCATAATATAACATCCATTTTTAATAAATTTACATTAAGGATAAATCATTTGTTCAAAAACCATTATTCAAATATCACAGTTATAATGAAAACATTGCGGAATCTCGAATCATAAAGCTGCTGATGTGTGTGTACAATTAGGCGTTTGCAATTCGATAAGTACCTGCAAAATATTTAATCTACAACTATAAGCATAAAGCTTAGTGACTTCCCCAAAATACAACATACAACACAACATAATAATCAGCTAAGGTTATCAGCAA